GACGTGTCTGCCGGCCGGGCCACGCGGAGGCCTCTCCTTGCGCCACCTCCTCGCTCGCTTCTTTCCGATGGGCAACATCGGTGATGTGGTGGCAATGATGAATGTGTTTAGCCCCACATTTCACCGACATCTGTCTTAAATAGCTTAAATATGAGCCTTTCAGTCAGCATGTATATCACATGTAAAGCTCTGGTCCATCTCGTTGTCATCGTGGTCTATGTTGCGCTTGACTATCGCGTTTTTATCTGGATTTCAATGATCAGATTGCTCCTGAGCTCGGTGTTCCTCTCACATAACACTTTCGCCTTTAACCAGTGTTATTTTACCCATACTGACAGAGAAAGCCTGTCCAAACTGCAATGCGGCCCTGGAGCTGATTCCTTGCCGAGGACACAGTGGCTACCCGGTCACCAACTTCTGGAGGCTTGAAGGCAAAGCAATATTTTTCCAGGTAGAAATGCTCTTTTCTTTGCCTCCCTCCCTCTCCTTCAAATTTTGTATAACACAGAGTGGTGGAGTTCTGATTCACGACCAAATTCCCCTGTGTTACAACAGTGGAAACAATAAATTTAAAAAAAATGGCAAGTGCTGTCCTTCTTTCAATGTTGTACTTCTAATGTCATTTTTTAAATCAAAATAGGTGATTAATACTCATTTAAAAGCTAATTTCTACCAAGGAAATGACAACGTTTTTAAAAGCAATGCTAAGTTTCATGGTTTGCATTAAGAACTATATTCAAGTTCACTCACAGCTGTAATGAGTCAGTTAATGTAGCATACAATATTTTATCAAACCTCATCGCAATTTTGCATACACATACCCATCGTTATTTCAGTAGCAAAGCATCTTTGGATGGCTTTCCAGGTAGATGTTTCAGTCATTTTCAAGAGGTAGTTATTGGAGTAAAGAATATTTGTCATCTGGTAGTGTGCACTCCCCTTAAAGCCCATTTATACTGTTTTGGTGGTGAAGTGAGATCTTAGACTATGGAAAACTGAACAAATTAAATTTCTAATCCATTTTTCTTGGTTTTGATCAGCTGTACGTCACAGCAAGAAACATATTTTCTCCTTCCTGCCCTAAGCTCACAGATCTGAAGTCTCCACTAACTTCTCCACTTTCTACTTCTACATGTAGAAAGTCATGTTTTTTGTTTTGTTTTGTTTGTTTGTTTTTTAATTTGAATAATCCCTGTGTTGTAGTTTCTCCTTCCAATGCAGTTGTGCTCAGCCATGGTCCATGCTGTGGCCACTACTCATTTTACTTGTATTTCACAGAAATCAAGTGCCTAAATTAAGACAGGATGAATCTATCTCCTGGAGTAATCTTGGGAAGTCTATAAAATATTAAACAGTGCAAACACTGAAGTTTAATTACAAGCTTGTGTGTGTCTTTAGATAAGCAAATAATTCCTTACTAATCTTAATACAGGCAAAAGGAGTGCATGACCACCCCAGGCCAGAGAGCAAATTGGAGGCAGAGGCAAGAAGAAGTTCAATTAAGAAGCACGTGTTGTCTTCTCACCATTCCCAGAAAAAGAGACATCTAAATGCAGAGGTAAGACAAGATTCTCAGTTAATTACAAAGATGGTATAAGCATGTGCCAAGAGTCACAGAGCAAAACAAAGCTTTGTGCCCCATTTTTTGTCTGTTCATCCAGCTCGTGTTCAAGTAGATAAAGGCAGGTGAGGACTGAAATGTGCAATTACGCATGTGAAGACGTGTGTGAGTAGTACCTATTCCTGAACCTCAGAGACTGGTTTTCTTCTCCTTTTCAGGTGGGAAGATGCCATGACAGCAGTGGTTATATTGGTAACGTGCAGAATCTGTCCTGCCTGGAAGGCTCAGACAGGGCTGGTATCGTTGCTGATACCAGTTTTCCAGGTCCAGCTCAGTCTTATCCCTCCCTGCAAAGTGCTGATCTCTACAAAGCTTCTTGTGACTCAACCAGCTTCCAAGAGGACCAGCTGTCACCGTACCAGAAGTGTCCTAACCCAAGGATCTATGTGCCTCGGCCCTGCAGCTATGAGTTTGGAGTTCCTGCCTTCATAAACTCCAGCTCTTACCCAACGTTTTACAAAGACGTGACCAGCACTGCTGTTGACGCTGACCCCATGAGCCTGAACGGATCACAGTGTCCTTCTGCGACTGTTCAAGATAAGAGCTTCGATAACGCTGGTAGGCATCATGGACTGAAGCCAGTCTGGGGGAAGGTTGGTGGTGGAGACAGGAGTGACTATGGACAGGTCCAAGCCAACACCAATCCTTACTACAGCGGGGAATATCCCTGCAGGTACAGCAACAGCACCTCTCCCCTCGCACCGCCGTTACAAACTGTCATCACCACCACCACCAAAGTGTCCTATCAAGCCTACAAGCCTGTGGTGAAATACAGTGACAACCTCTGCGATGTGAAAAACCTTCAGAGCTATACCCATGTGGCAGAAAATGTCTCGGGCACTATCTATTCAGGGATGAAGATACAGGAAGACTTTGGGATGATAAAGTCAGCGTTGCTTTACCAGCATGATCCAGTTCCTACAAAACCCGAGCCAGGGGAGATCATGGAGAGCTATCGGTATGGACAACTGCCAGTGAACAGCTATGTGGAGAATGAAGGGCAGCCCTTAAGGTTTGAGAGTGGTGCATATTGAGTGAATGTTGCCTAAATGACATCAGAACAGGCTAAATCAACCTGGAGAAGACATGCTTGTACTGCCTGTGTGCGTGCCAAGCCTAGAGGTTGAAGAGAAGTGAGGAAACAGCGCATTAAAGCAACTTACACCACAAGGTGCCTTTTATATACGACTAACTGGGCTTCTCTAAAGTGAGAAAAGAAGAATCTAGTTTGTAATTTCATTCTGCTTTTTGGATTCCTGTATCACCTGTACAGATTGCCTGGTCTTTCAGTGCAAGAAGAAAAGATTAGCTACAGCACCAGGGATGTCATGAACTCTTCCTTGTAATGTCTTACTTGGAGGAGACACAGCACAGTTGCCCAGAGGTGGGTTTTCCTCCCAGGCCTCCAGGATTCTACTGTATTTTTGACTCCCCACAAGCACACTAGGCAGTGTGTTCTCTTGGAAATGACAAACCAACAAAGCAAGGGTTCAGAAAACAAACGTTTTAAAGGCTCCCAAGCTAAATAAAGAAAATAGAAGGACATAAATACCCCAATTTCATAAGTTTATTGAACTGATTTTCTAGCTGGATGGGAAGAAAAATAAGCCAAGGCATATTGTTTTAAACGAATATTTTGAAATTGGTCTAATGTTATGAAAGGGAATTCATACCTGAAAAACACAGCCTAACAAGAAGGATGTGCAGAAAGAATGTTTTAGTCATGCTGGCAGGATGCTTTATCATAGTTGTTATTTAGTTAAGAAGCATCTTTAACTTTCTGAATGTTTTTTTTTTTTAAAAAAAAAAAGAGAGAGAAAACACATCTTTTGAGTAACTCAGAACACTACATGCTTTTAGTAGATGCATGCAATATAAAAGTACTGCATGCTTTTAATAGATATGAACTCGCAGTCAAAAACAGAGCAATGTGTAAACTGGCTAGCAGGCTTCGATGTACAGGCCCTTGTAGTGCTATGATTAAACCAGCAAACAACCAGTGCAAAACACGGTGCTCAAATATCATATTCTTAGAGGATTTTTGCTCCATTTTGTTCTTCCTTTCATATTTCTACAAAAACAATGCATATGATCTGTTTATGAAGTGAAACCCCGCAGTTAAATTCACAGAAACTCAGCCAATAGCCTCCTGTTTCAGGTGTGAGTTGTTCAGCACTCAAAAAAAAAAAATCAAGTCAAAAAATCAACCTGGAATTTACAAAAGGACTAAGTGAACTCAGCATCAACCTTACACTGAATTTTAGTGTACTTGCTGTTTACCTCTTTCTAAACTCCTATGGAAATTCTTCTACCAGATATTTTAGATCAGGTTCAGACAGGCAATATAGTTTGGCAAACTAACCCATATTCCAACCTAAGAAAACGATAAGATACCACCTAGAAAGACTGATCCAAAGTTTAAAGAGTTTAAAAATATGCTCCACAAGGCTTGTTTGTAGAACTGTTATTTCTCATATCTACTCCAATATATACTGGGTCATTTGTGGTGTAGAATAAAACTCAGAGCAATGTCCTTCAAAGTTAAAGAGGAGAAAAAAAAAAAAGAAAAAAAAAGAAAATGGAACATACTGGAGGGAAGGGGAGTTTTGTAAGGCCAAGCAAAATATCTGGAAAGAGATTCACAGCACTTTCCAAATCCTAAAGAAAATTTTAAACAAAGATGTAAGTTGCTTCATTTTATATAAATTCTGGAGAAATTATATCTCTGCAATTGAAGCTTTGTGTATGTTAAAACATAGGATGAACAGGGGTTGTGCTGTTAGTATATTGGTACAAAAACTGTCATTGTAGCTGTGTGCTTTAACCATTAAGCCATGCTCTTAACCTTTTAAGTAGAACTTTGTATGCCAGTTGAGAAAATGTAGCTAGTTTTATAAATATACTATTTTTTTTTACTATGGCTTATTTCTAATAAACATGATGCTTGTTTAAGCATGGTGAAAAGATATAGGAGCAATTACTTTACCGATTCATCTGTAGCACTAGAACAAATAAAAACACTTTGAAGGTTATTGCAGCCTTTCTCAACTTTGTTCCATTTTATGCATGAGCATTTTATGCTCAAGATATCAAGATATCTGTATATTGCCTTTCTGGATAAAGTATTGTATAGACGAAGTGCTAGTGCTGCATATGGCTTTCTCTCCAAAATGCATGAATATAAGGGCAATTCTGGCTTCTATGATAGAAAGCTGAAATCAAATGTCTCCTTTGATGCTTGTATATAAGAACTGTCTTTAAAAGCATGTTTTTCAAGTAAAGCGGCATTCTAAAAAAAAAAAAAAAAAAAAAAGATATGCTCCCTCTGATCCCTAAGTAAGCAGCTTCTTTGCCATTTATCATCCCATTAAAGCTGGGTTTCTGGTCCTGCCTCAAGGACATGAGAGGGCCACCTCTTCAGCCCGCATCATGCCCTGCTACACGCATCTTCACCTAGTAAATTCCAGTTGTTATGGAAAAACCACGGAGGGGAAAAAGGCACTTTGAAACCTCAGCCACCTGTGGCTCTGGCTTCACATGAACAAGGGCCCTATGGAGATGAAGTGCCATCTGTCCCCACACCTCCCACTCTCAGGCTGCTTCTAGCATGAAAAAAAGCAGCCTCCTAACGACAAAGTTTAAAAGCCCAAGTGTTGAATGGATCCCTCTCTCAGACAAGAAGCACCTTTTTATTGTTTTTAATCACACGTACCTGCCAGACTTATGGTGGCAATGCCACATACCCAACTAGTGCAATAATGTGTGGACATTGCCCTGCAGTCCCATCTACTCCTTCTTCTGATGACCAGTGAGGAGCTCTCCTTTGGGAAGACAGGCAGCTCACAGGTGCTTTTGGGGATGGGGAATTATAACTCCTGTGAAAGCCTGGGCAATTAATTTAGATCTCGTTCCTTTTTTGTAAGAGAGTTCTACCTCAACTTTTTAAATATGCTAAATGCTAAAAGGTGCTCACACACTTGGTTCTTCTGGGTTTAATGAGCTCAGAGTTGCTGATTCCAAAGTTTAGAGTATAAAATATCTTCTTTAAAAACAGAGGGAAATTTTACTCTGAGCTCTACAGGTAGAGACCAAGCTATTTAGAATGTGACTTCTGAACCTGTTTCTGAGTTTTCTTTGTATCTTCTGGGGACGAACTATCTAACAGAACTGAGCTATGCCCATGCATGAAAATGGATCTCATTTGTTGAAAGGGACTATTTGAGAGAACACAACAAGTAAATCTGGAGATGCAGCCAGTATTCTAGAGAGCTGGTTGCCTTGCTATGATTAATTTTGGGAAATTTGGGAATGCTTATGTAGCCTTCATCATTATCAGTACGGCCACATGCAAATGAAAAGAGAACAAACAGGATCTTTAGAGTTGACATATTGACTCCTAACAGGGAGAGTGTTAGATCCTCTCTGCTTGAGAGCAAGTGAGAACAGTATACTGTGCTGGTCTGGGTAACTACCCCAATTTTCAAACTACATAAAGCAAATATCTGCCTATCACATGTGAACAAAGGGAGGGTGAAGCACTTACGGTTTGTATACAGTGCTGTGCTTAGGATTTTGCAAAATGGAACATGCCCGTCAACACGGTACCTCCACGGGCTTGCAAGAGTCCACATGCAACATGAAGATCAGCGAGATGATACCAGCGTGAATAAATATCATGCAGGAACATAACTCATTTGGACCAAACTCATTCAAACAAGCAGAAACCAAATCAAGAATACACAACCCATATTCACTTCAACATAGCTGCTGCCACTTGTTGCAATGTGGTTTGATAGAGGGTGGTTTCTGGTACCTAGCCTGGTATTTGTGCAAAGCATCAACAACTTTAATGAGCACAGGCAAAGAGGATTCTTTCAACAGAAAATTAGTAGCGATGTTGTGTAAAACAAGCAGGGAAGCAGGTGCACAAAGATGATCTTGGAGGTCCTTTTGCAAGATTTACAAAGTTTGCTGCTGCTTCTGGGTCTCTTTGTTCCAGGCTGTTGCTTTTCCTGCAGTTTCCTGGTTCACAGCAAGCGCAAAGCACAGCACCTCTGTTATGTGTTCATGACAAAATGAGGTGTTAACTGACTGGCTTGCAGCACTGGTCCTACAGCTTCGTAGCATCTTGTAGTTTGGTGTTATACTGGCAAAACTGCCTGCAACTTTTCTGCCTTCATGCATGTGAAATGTTGGGGAAAGGCACAAAAAAGTACAAAAAATAACAGAAATAATACACTTGTAACAGAATTTCACCTTATAATTGCTGTACCTCTGTAAAACTAATACTGAAATTATTTAAATACCAGACCACTTGCTTATGCAGATCTTTTATAAGTCACTGCATTTAGACCACAAGCACTCCAAAATCAACCAAACCCACTGTTCCAGATGCTTCCCAGGCACAGAGAATCAAGGCGGTTGTCATCTACTTCTCTCCCATAGTCTAATATCTTTGGAGGGGTGGTGATGGTTTCATAAGGCAGGCATACAGGACAGGCCACTGAGCACTCCCTCTCTCAAGCACAGCAAGCCAGTGCCATAAGCAGCAAGAGGGATCTGTGGAAATTACGCGGCAACACAAGGGGAGGGCAAGGGACGTGTTTCTGTGCATGTAACAGAAAGCAAGGTATGCCACAACACTCCAAGCCTAAGAGCTCGTGGCTGTCTGTGGAAACAGGGACCATCTCTGGACATCTCAGAACAGCTCGGGCTCCTTTGTATTGGTTAGGTACCTAATCAAGCAAAAGAAAGAAGAGGAACTTCCCGTGACGAATAGGTAGGACAAAAACAGTGTGTCTAGCATGGGGTCAGGATTGAGTAACGCTGCAATCCAAGTCTGCTGAGTCAGTGAGTACAGGGCAGTATCACACAGCAAAGACAGTCAACGAGCTATCTTTGTGATATGCAAGTTTGGAAAATAACTTCAAGGTCACCTCTTGCATACAGCTTCCTTTTTGCCGTGGGGTCTTTCCAAAACATCAGGAAAACACTGCCAAGAGAAGTCTTTGCTTTGTCTTTAGCAATACATTGC